AGAACTAGTAGACTTATGATGATGTCTTTCAACTATCCATTACCTAATTACATACAGTGAACATCTATGACCTAAGTCCCTGAGGAGCAGCTGGACATATGAAACATGAAACCCGTCACTTAAATGAAAACTGAGCACATAATAAATAGCACAGCAGCTTCATGACCCACACCGCAAAAAAAAAAAAAGTTGACACATTATGTATTAACACACAGCAATCAAACATAATGTATTTCACACCAGAACGGTCTTCTAGAAAATGTAATGTCAGAACAAATGTATGATATGTTGAATTAAAATTGTACTCCTACACTTTCATCTCATAAAAAAATGAAAACAATTTCTATGCACTAATCTGTGCACTTCTGACATGATATTCACACCTAAAATAAAATAAAGGCAGTACTGTATTTACCTATATTTAAAGTGCACCCAGATTCTGGAAGATTGAATTTAAGAAACAAAAATTCATTTCACAACAGTTGTACAAAATTTACTGAATAGTTCCTAAATACGGTTATAATAACACTACTGATGTATTCACAATTTCTGGATTTACTGGTATTAGTTGTGAACATTTTAACCATTACTGTTGCTCCTGGCTACAGTAGAGATAGAAACTCCACTATCAAGCACATAATAATTTAAGGGGTGCATTTCATTCAAACTTCCTGATCACAATCATATTTTTCAATAATGTCCATGCAGAGGAAAATAAAAGAATTTCAATGAATAAAAAAATTTTTGCTGAGAACTTTTAGTAAAATATCAATTCTGAAATTGAATACACTTCAATATAATGCACAGTCAATTTTTCAGGAGATATCTGGAGGGAAAAAATGTATATTGTATTTTGACAATAATAAGGTATGTAATGTGGCAACGACAGTTGCGAGTCACATTAACATGAACTTTAAAATTGTAAAGATCCCTGTGTTTCTGCACAAATGAAAAAATTTGTTGTGATATAACAGTCCTTTGCAAAATAGTGTTCATGAGATATGAGAAAACAGAATGTTCAGTGCCATTAGTTACTGAAGAGTTGGTAAAGAAAAAAATTACAGTCAACCATACATATATGGAAAGAAAGTTGCACTGAACAGTGCTCTCTTTACATGTAAGTAGAAAAAGCAGGTAGTGGTTATTGATTTGTGTCAAATTTCTCATTTCTTATCACTTGCTCTTCATAAAAAAATATATGTTAATGTAAGTAAGGAACACTGACCCATTCTCACCATAGCATAACTTAAACCTGATGCTTATTATGCTCTTTTCTGCTAAAATAAATTTCTGTAGCCATTTTAATGTTCATGAATGCCACGTAAACCTTAGAAGACTTTAATTTTGTTTGTGAATTTTAGAGCATTTAACTTGGTTAAATTAAATATAGACACAACTGCTGTAACGTAAGCATGAATAGGAAAATTGAATGCATCATTTCATTTTGTGAGCAAGAAGTTATTCAAGAACACAAAGTCAGTCAGTCATGTGAAAAGGAAAAACTTCATACTTTTCTGTCAGTATCACTAATGTTACTCAAATACTGCCTCTAAATGTTACTGTACCCTACCACACTATACTAGAATATTAGAACTACCATCACACTTTATCATATTAAATGCTACTTTCAGCTGTTTATGCATTACAACAGTATTTCCCAATGTTGTACCCACAACCCTGCTTATATGGGTTGCTTACTCGTAAATACCCACAGTGCAGTCAGCTGTCTAATGGCAGTACATAATTCAATTATTTGAAGCAGAAGTTTGACTCTTAGAGGTGTGTTATTACTGTTAAGGATTTTACTGTAAATGGTTATCATCAGTTTATATATACAACTCAGTTAAAAGTTCCCATACTGCAAGTTAACATTTGTTAAAAAATAAAAATGTATATAAGAATTTGAAAATAATAATAAATCAGGTTGGATCTGAATTTTACATAAACATATAGATAAAACTGACAGTATCTCTCCCAGCATAAAAATTGACTGTTGTTTCCAAGTTATCAGATATTTATGAACTTCATCTAGTTTAAATAATATTATATAATTTATGCACTTCACACTCCTCACTTCTAAGCTATGTGTTCATCTTCCACATACAATCTCTTCCAGTTAATCTAAGCCAAGTTCATTTTGAATATATGGAATAGTCTTTTTGGTGTTTTCATGTTTGGTTGGTAGCCAGAGTTGATTCTTGCACACAGTACACTATATGTCTCTGGGTCAAGGACTAATATGTTGATGTAATTTGAGAAGTCTCCCTTAAGACTGACTGATATAGCAGAATGCATGCGCTTGAAAGCAAGGACTGGTGTACTGTAGAGTGTCCTTGGAGGTAGTACTCTGTACATAAGTACAGTTGGAATGTGACTCAAAGAAATTTTTTTAATATAAGTTTGTGTGAAGGTTAATTTCATATCTGTAAAGATAAACACAAGATGAAATCCTATAAAACTGTTGAGGTTTAGCTACTTTGATTTCAATAGTTAACCAAGCTACCTGTATAAAAATGTTAAGATAGCTCATGACATCACAGCAACTAAGTTGATATGCTGAATTTCCTATCCTATCTTCATGTTTTTAATACAACTTTTAAATTACCATTATCTCAGCCATAAAGAATCAACACAGATACCTGAGAATTGTCAAAAACCAAGAAAAAGACCAATACTTACTTCATAAAATCACAGCAAAATTACAGTTGTAGACGGTCACATCATGTTTAGCATATTATTCTCTTGTGGGTTACAAAGAGAACTAGGTTGTGAGCACAACATTTGAAAAAATATTCGAACTTCAATAGCGCCTCAAATGTTGCCATTTTCCCCTTTAAACACTTAATATATATGAATGCCAAACATTTCCTTCTAAAGAACCACAAGCCATGCATTATCAACATTAGAAACTAACATAAAAGTTAAATTATTACAACAATAAGAGATAACTACACATCATTTTCAAACCCCAGCCATAATTATTGTCATTTCCCTCCAAATTTTTGCTTCCCTTGGTAACATAAACACCAGCAGTCATGAAATGCACTATTAGCTTCATCAATTAATATACAAACCACAGGCCAGACAGATCAAAGGCAACAAGTGGTATGGCGATTTTATTTATAAAATATAATATTATTAAAGGCCTCCATCATATGAAAGTATCTCATAGTAATTCAGCAGCAGTGACTGACACAAGAGTAATTACTACATGACCTAATGTGCCAAGATAATGTCTACTGCACTTAACGTCCTAATGAAGGGAAGTAAACATGACTATGATAAGTAGAGAGATTTTTTAATACATCCACTGCCAATGACAGCAGCTGTGACTCAAATTAGTAGATTCTCACAGTACAGATGTATTACAACATGTTTGCTAGCTGTAGGAATATGTCTTTTGTCCAGCAGTGTTATCCAAGTCCCACTAAATCTTCATACAACATCATGAAAGTTTTTAGGAATCAAATCTGTATAAATCTCCTACATACATTCAACAGAAACATTAATTTTTTCATTCAATAACAAATGTGTTGGTTCACTCACCTGGTGCACTGGATTAAACTGGCAATTTAAATATCCTACAGAGAATGTGTTTACTTCTGAGCTAGTGTAAATGACTTTAATCTATAAATGTGGCTATATATATATATGAATTCACCACAAAACATAAAATGTATTATATGATTAATCAAGAATGAGAAGACAGCATAATATTCAGTGCCTGTGTTATATACTTCGAAAGAGTCTAACTTCAGTTTCAACATTTTTATTGGCATAAGCAAAGCAATGGTATTTTTGTTTGCAAGTTATTTACCACTTTCTCAGTTGGAGGCATCTTTGCATATGCATGGGTGTGGTCATTGTATCTATCAATTAGCAGAATTACATAAATTCCTTCGTTCAATGATTTTGTTGTTAAATTAAATTACAAGGTCTTTTTACTTATACCACAATCATGGGAAAATAAATTTGAAATGGCACACTGGTGATGCCCTACAGAATGGAATCCAGCATAATACTAATTCCTCTCAGGCCTCAAACCCTTCATTTATACTTTCAGAACATATGGTTCAACTTTCTTCTAGTGGAACAAGGTTACATATAAGCACACCATGAAACATGTTTTTTTTTTCCCCAGTTGATACATCTTGTTAAACAAGTAATTTAATAAAATGAAACTGTAACAAAATGAGTTGATATTTAATATACTGTCATGCGATATGGTGTTTGGTTTAGTAAACGGAGTTATTGGGCACTTTAACACACAACTTGTGACTACACTTTACAAATCACTATCACACACAGACTAGCGTTCTCAGTCAGGTGCTGCTCGGTAGCAGCTTCCAACAGCAGATGTTCCCCTTCCTCTGGTTTCCTGAACATTCCCTGTCCTCAGCTACTGCAACTTTCAACTGACTGTCTGCCTGCAGACTTGCTTGCAACTTCTCTCTAGACTCTCAACTCAGACTAATGGCAGCTGGTCCTTGTTATATATACTCTCATCATGGACCACACAGAAAACACTGCTTCCAAAACTTCATTTTTGCATGGGTTTGTTGCTTAGTCATGGATCTTGCATTGTTGCATGCTTATGAAGCTGTTGCCCAGCAATGGGTATGTTTGCAAAACCATTCCCTAGCAGCGGCTCTCAATGCTGGCTTCACAGTTCTTGCTTTGAGCAAATATGCAACAATATACATTCATTTTCTCTGCTATATTTTTGATGCCATCAAATTAATTGCACGTGAAATCCTTTACAAATTCAACTATACAAAGTGGTATCAGAAAGTCCCAGATTGTTATTGCTGTAACTGCCTCGGTGAAAGACTATGAGAGGGGAGACCAAGGTCACGCTTCCAAAAGCCTATTGCATCAGTCTGCCATATGATACCACATGACTTCCTGGAAATGAAATCATTGATGACAGGTCTCTTTGATCAACTCACATCCCTCCTATCCCTCCTCACCTCCGTCCTATCTAAGCTCACGTNGCATGTCAAGTTTCGGGTGAAACTTGGTAAATCTGCTACCAAAACCCTTCATTAATTTGGAAGTGAATATTACTGGTATGCATATTCTGGGAAAGCAAAGACTATATATAGTGACAGCTTTTATTTTTTCTTTCCAGATAAAGGTTATATTTTTCAAAAAGTATGCATTACTACTTGGAATGATGTTCAGCCTCTCCTCAAATATTCCTACAACTAGATAACCATCAGTGATTTTAGCATCATTTACAACCAGTTACACATCCTGCCAGTTTCACAGTTCTTGCATATAAACATCCTTGATTTGAATCTTTATGAGGTATAAAAATTACTGTTCATGATAGCCATAGAACACTAGCTCAGAGTTTTGTGACAATAAATGATATTGGTTCAATGGTTTCAAAGTTCTACTTACCTTTAAAATTTAACTTTAATTTGTGAGTAGAACCAATTCCTGTTCCAATTACTGAATAGCCTAAATTCATTTGAAATTCAGTATTTTCTCCCATAAAATTTAATTTTCTTTGTACAATTAATGAAAATGATAATTTCACAATTCTCTTATATTTTATGGAATTTATATTATTCAGTACTTTACAACTAAATATTCCCAACAGTTACTAAATGAAAGAAATTTTATCAACATGATGTATGTCAAATGCATGAAATATGCTTATTCCAAATATTTCAGTTCAGATTAAATTGGAGTAACAGAACATTTTAAACTTTATGGTCTAATAAACAATCAACTAAAAGGAGAAATCTGATAGAGTAAGGAGTAAATATTAATAATAAAATATTTTATAATTTATAATAGCAAAAACAGTTTCCTCTGCTTTAAATGAAAAGCAATAACATACAACAACAGACACTAGGTCCAACAATTTGCAGTCTTCTTCTTTTGTTCGTTTACAGTCCACCTCCTTTTCCACTTGTGTCCCCAAGAACATATTTCTTATACAAATAGTTCATCTGTTCCAGGAATATGAATGTCAAAACAGTGTGTGGCCCAAGTCGAGCATAGTATGGAGTGAATCCTTTCCACAGGGCAAAGAAACCCTCTCTGCGTACAACCTTTGCTAGTACATCAACGGCACCAGTATATTCTGGTTTTCCATCAATTGTCTTCATATTCTGGATTCTAAAATGTAAAGAAAAGAAGACAGTCAATGAGATATCAGTGTTTATATTGGTATGCATAAACAAGTATAAGGTGATGTCTGCATATATAAATTCTATAAGATACGGTACATTTGTATTCAGCAAATGTTGATTTTGTCTGTGCAACTGTATTCATCCAGCTAAAAACTGGAAGGAAAAGTATGATTATGGTTATGCATTGCACAGAAGGCTTGACGAAATCTAGATGTACTCTGGATGTGGAAATGAAGCTGTTTTACATCACCTGCAAAATCTGCCACATTGTTTTTATCTGTGACACAGTTTAAATCAGATAAGTATGAGGGTTGGAACTTTAATAGTGGCAACAATGCTGTAGAGACGCCATGCAACGGAACCAAATAATGTCACTTTTACCACACATTAGTTACATACCTACCTTACATCAGAGCAAATGGACTCTCCATTCCCACATCAAGCGCATGCGCAGTGACGAGAAAAACAGAGCCTTGTGTTAGCTGGCGGTCTAATGTAGTGTTGTCATGATGTTTTTGCAACAGGAACAAAGGAGTTGGATAAAGATTGAATGTGCCAGAGGCCATACAGCACGACATTGTCATCAAGGCCTTCAAGAGCCTTGCAGGGAATCTGCATTGCCTTACAGAACAGTGGCAAGGTGGGTAAAACCCTTCAACGAGGGACGCCAAAATGTGGCAGACATGTGTCGGCCAGGTCGTCCTAGTGTCAGTGAAGAAGTGTATGCTCTTTCCGCGTTACTGGAGAGTGACTGACGCCATACGATTCGTGAGCTGGCCCGAGAGACAGGATTAGCGCATACAACTGTGCTTCACATTCTGAAGGAACGCCTGGGCGTGAGAAAAATTGCATCAAGATGGGTTTCGCGTGATTTGACGGAAATGCAGAAATGGCTACGATACCATTCTGCTCGTAACCACTTGGAGCGCTATGAAAGGCTTTCTTACACCATATCATTACGCTGGATGAGACATGGGCCAAATTGTACGAGCCACAAATGAGATGCCAATCGAACGAATGGCGTCATTACAGGTCACCACGAAAATCAAAAGTTCATCAGAACCCCAGCAATGTGAAAGTTATGGTGATTATCGTGTACGACTGTGATGGTGTTATCCTAACGCATACCGTTCCCCAACAGCAGACCATCAATGCGCAGTATTACTCTTCACTTTTGGAACACGACCTGCAACCAGCTTTGAGAAAGAAGTGGCGACACTTTCTGCAGAATCCACCCGTCATTTTGCAGGACAATGCTCGGCCGCATGCAGTGCAAGTTGTGGCTGATTTGTTTGATTGATGGGGCTGGGAAGTGCTGTATCATCCACCATACTCCCGGACTTAAGCCCTTGTGACTTCAACTTGATTCCTAAGATGAAGGAACCACTTCGTGGCATTTGCTTCAGAACTGCTCCAGAGATTCTTCAGGCAGTAGACCACTCCAGTTGAACTATCAACACAACAGGCACTGCTAATGGTATCCTACAACTTCCACATCACTCGCAACGGGTTGTACACAATGCTGGTGACTACACTGAAGGACAGTAAAACTTCAAAACATGCATCTATTTTGTATCAGTTGTAAATAAATAGTTGCCACTATTAAAGTTCCAACCCTCATATACACAATAAATTACTGCTAGAATGAGGTGACTGAATAAGCTTTTAAATAACATCATATCATGTTGATAAAACCAACAACCCCAATACTCCCAAAATCATTTGTGTATAAGCCTATTCCTATGAAAAGTACGTCTCAAAAGACATTCAATTACATTTTACCTTGTTTTTGCTATGTCAACTGGCATTGAGGCAGCTGTTGTAACAAGGCCAGAAATCATACTGCTAACAAAGTGGCAGAATATATTATCTTTGAAGTAACCTGAAAATGAAAAAAACAGAAGAGGAAAAACTCAAATGCAATCAGTGTTTTCTTGCATTATTTAAATCCACTTTGTTGTATGTATTATCATACCAGTTCATTTAAATTATCTATATACCATTTTTTGTACATTAAGCAGAGCAAAGGGTATTTACTTTTATATACAACTGCATTAGACATGGCAGAGGGATAATATAAAAATTCAGGTTTATGATTTTCTTTTGATTTCTTGACATATTCAGCAACGTTTTGTCATTTGCACAGACTACTTGACACTGCACTTCGGGATGGACATGCTATCAATGAGAAGAGAAGCAGAGGGGTGTGATCTCAGCCAAGATATTGAGACGAGTTCTATCTTCTGGGATAGTATAGAGTCAATCTGCATAGTCTGTTGGCAGTCAACTGATGTTTCTGAGGTACATGTCATCTCCATCTTCAGGGACAAAGAATAAGACAAGAAGGAAACATGAATGAAGCAGGTAGCAAGCAGCTGCACACAATTTTGTTCACCTATATGTATAACCCAACGTTGTACACTGGAATTCACTCATGTTCAAAACGTTTAAAACACCTCTGATATCTCTCATCAATCTTATGTCAGTTAATTTTCAACTTAAGTGTTACAAATAAAAAGCACTTATTCCTGAACAACCCTCAAGGGCAGTGTATATTTTGAAGTGTAAGTCATACTGTAATTTCAGTTTCATATTCATGTTTATAATATGTTTAATTTTTCTTTGCATTATAACTAGTAAAATTCTCCAATTGCTTATTAAATGAACCTATCTGTTACTTAATGATACAGTGAAACATTGCATATACTCTGCATAATTATAAGTGATCATATTGATGTTATCAAATTCATGTATTTAGTACTTATGTACTGAACATGGGTTTTTATTGATAATGTCTGGATCACAGAAACGCTCAACATAACAGCACATATGGTATTTGGAACAAGAAATATGGAAATGCTTACCTCTACAAAAAAAAAAAACTCCATGGCCTGCGGTCCACAAGTGAACTATACCGACTGAGCGACCACCACTTGTTGGCAAAGTTAGTGCCAACTTTTGCAGATAGAGGGTGTCACATGGTCAGCGCAACAGATCCCCATGGCAGTTAATCTCAGTTTTCTAGACCAGAGCCGCTATTTCCTTGAAATAGCTCCTCAATTATCTTACCTCTACATATTCTGTAATCGGTATGAGATTCATGCTTAAAGTAATATTCAACAATGTGTAAACACTGCTCTCACAGATAACATCCCTTTGCTGTCAAGAGGATCTACATTTAAATGACACAACTAGTGGATACTTTGCACTGAACTGTACCAGTATGACTGTGATGTTGAGATCCTGGGGCATAATGTTACTTTTCAATCACCCTGAAGAAAGAAATGCAACCAAAACAACTGTATCTGACCTGTATCAAGGAGGAACTGTTTGGCTTGCGAGTAGGATGCAAGCTGAGCAGCATTCACCACCATGGCTCGGCCCATGGTTGGAATTGCACCTCGCCAGAGTGTGAGAACCCCTTCTTCTTTTACAATTCGGAATAACGAATCAAACACATTTTTGTAGTTACGTCGTTCTGCTGGAGGTAAACGACCATCAGCTGTCATTCTGATCAATGATACTTCTGCTGGTGTTCCTACAAAAGCACCTGCTACTCCGGCTGTCATTCCCAGAGCTGCTTTTACAAAGAAACCTGGGGGCTTGCCATCAGCCCTAAAGGTTAATTATAACATATAAGTAAAATTTTCATTGAATAGAAGTACAAGACATTACAAAACATAAAGGTCAAATTAAGGATATTGCAATAGTGCTGTGTGATATACTTGGATAATAATAGGTTTCTTCAAAAGTTTAAGAAAAGAATCATTGAATAAACAATAACTGGAGAGACCAAGAGAGGAATGTTATCCAAAAAAGAGTAGGTGAAGAGAGGACACAGATACAAGAGGAACACTTGTAGAAAGACAGAAGCGAATGCCCCATCTTCATAGAAATTTTAATGGATGAAGATGATAAAATCATAACTACATTTCTGCATTCTATAATTCAACCACTATACTGCTAGTGAACACTAAGCCAATTACATTCTTTTAAGACTGATATAAGGCTAATGAACTATCAATTGGAGGCTGATTTTCTTTAGTTCAGTATTTCTGGTAGAGGTCTGTCAGTAAAATGACTGGCTATTGGCTGAATGGCTGCTGTCTGATTCTCAGTAGAGGCATGGGGAATTTTTTAAAGAGTGATATTGTAGGAATGGTAGTAAAGCTCCACACATTCACAGGCCTTGGTGATGGGCAAGACAGACTGTTCACCCTTACCAATTGGGAAAGCTTTCACCATACTTATGATCCTTATAGGTAGGTCCCTGAACTCTTCTGAATGCATTTAAATTGCAACCATAACCACAAGTTCATCTGAAGGTCATTATAATTTGACAACTTTATCTGTTTAAATCTCATCACAATATAATCACCTACATTAGAGTATACTAAGGAAAAAATATTCAATTTCAGGACACTCCCACAGAAAAATATAACAACTGATGCATACTTATCAGACTTAAAAAATAAATGGGTCACTGAATTTTTGCACAGTGTGATAATTGGTGTGATAATTTGCAAGAAATTCAAAGCTCTGACACAAATCTAAAGACACTAAGCCCCAATTCAGTGTCACCTGATATTGTGAGGGAGGAACATTACAAAATATCTTGAACAGAGGAATGTGGGTACTTGTATATCACACTTGAAAGAGCCTTATTAAAATACAATCTTGCTCTATTAGCTTACACGTATTTTATGTGTCTGTTCAACCTATTCATTATCCTGGGTGACATTCATTCTATATTGCATGTTGGGTGGAAACAGGTATTGCCTTTTACACGTTACTTTCATTTGACAAAACAAAACCAACTACCTGTAGTTTGTAGTTAACATAACTGGTCATAATATTTAAACACCAAATCTCACCCTGAGAACGTTTCAAAAAGCCAAGTATATATTCCAAGTCTTGTTGTTGTATAGGTAGCTTGTCGAAGGAGTCCAGCTGACAGACCAGTATACATAGCCACAATTCCTTCTTTTTTTATTATTCCTTGAATTGCATGAAAACTTGTCTTGTATTCCCTTGCTTTTCCTCCTTCGCCACTTAACTGCATCCTGTTCTTTACCAAATCAAGGGGTTGGACGACACACGTTGCTCCCATGCTGTAAATTATTACACACTTGTTTCACGAATGTATATTCACACGATTTACTTCGACAGGCATTACTGAACTGTGCTTATTATTAAATTGAATCCAATGCTCGTTATTGACATATTTCAGTTTCTAACTATAACACGCCGCCGTGTGATATCAGTGGTCATATAAAAAAAAAACATAATTTGAGGGCCGCCTATTTAAACATTCCGCCACGAAACACTATCGAAATCGATTAGTGTATAAAAAATACTACGATCACTGGAAAAACAAATGTTATTGTAAACATCTGCTTTTCTACTTACCCGGCAAGTCCACCGAAAAGAAACTTAACAGAATTTGGAATCGTCTTCGCCTTTTCTCCCGCCATTGTGACGAATACGAGAAGTAATTATACTTTATAGCTTCCGCAACTACTCCTACACAACCTCACACCGTAACTCTCACTTCACACCACGACCGACCCCGACCTTACTTGCACAGCAGGATACAAAGGACGCAATCTACTAATAGGAATCCGTCTGACTGATCAGCTGTTCCACTACGCTAACCAAATTGTTACTACATTCATTACAGAAAATAGCATTTGGTTATGTAATACTAGATTAATGTAATGTTGCCGTAACTTAGCACTGATGCCAGGAATACCAAAAATATGCCACTAATTTAGCCCATTCTTAGGCTGTGTACTGTTCATTCCATCAAATTCTCCACAAATAAGAATTTAAAAAATTGTAACTATTGTAATTTTAATCTACTTATATATCAAATTGTTACTATTCAGAATTAACTTGACTTGTCATATATCATGTACAATGATCTACAGTGACGAAATAAATCAATCAATCAATCAATATAGTAAGTTCTATAACTGACGTATGGAAAGCGTTCTCCCACGGGATGTAGTTAGGAGTGCGTAAATCCCAAGGCGCGGAATTTGATTTCGAAGTACCTGAAACGTTTGCGTGAAGTTATTTTTCAGGCTAAAAGATACTGCTGTAGAGATTTGTTTATATTGTTGCAATAGACCCATTCGTAAAGTACAATGATACTATAAGTATCCTTCTTGAAAAGGTACAGACTTGTTTATAATTTATAAGCCTTATGCAACGATGAAACTAATCTGTTAGCAGAAAGTCACATCAACATTTAATTCACATCCCAGTGCCATTCCTGTTCCCCAAAACATGCCTTTTGCAAAATTCTGTCATGCCTTCAAATAAAATAAAATACGTAACAGCGTTTGATTCCAATCAGAAGTGATGTGGGCACTGCTACTACTGGAAAGTTAGCTAAATTAATAATTCTTCGGGGGGAATCTACCTTGAATATCGGTTTGGGACGCACCATTATCATTACTTCAGTTCCCGCGGTTATTCTCAGTCCCTCCAGGATACCATTCGATGATTAAAAAACACTGTAGGTACAGACAACCTACGATTCATCCGTATGAGGGACCAATCAAAAATTTTCCATCCAATCCTTTCTCACTAGAGGTCGGGGTAACTCAGTCGGTATAGTGGTAGACTGAGGGCTGCGTGGCGGGGTTCCTATTCCCGGCAGGTGCAAGAAATTTTTCTCTACACCACGATGTTCAGACCGAATCTAAGGCCCACCCAGCCTCCTATCCAGCCGCTACTGGAGCCAAAGCAGCCTGGACGTGAAACTGATTTCACATCTGCGTCTAATGCCGAAGTCAAGCTTGGTGGAGCTATACTTTCACTCCACAATAAGTCTTGATGTCGTGGTGCTTAAGAATTCTATGTTTCACTTTTACTTACCAGCAATAAATCAACGACAGAGGTGACGTAGCGTCGAAAGAGAAATGCTAAGATGATTATGAATAGTAAATTAAGAATTTGTATCGGAGAAAGTTTTGGGTGCAAACTGAAGGCGTTAAATCTATTCAGATGCTCTGAGCAAAGCTACTAAATTTTTTAGGCCATGTCTTAGCTCAATCGGTTAGTCGCTGGCTTCCCACCGCGACGGCCTGGGTTCGATCCCGGGGTCTGGTCAAGTGGGATTTGTGGTGGACAAAGTGGCGCTGGGGCAGGTTTTCTCCGAGTACTTCGGTTTCCCCTGCCAATCTTCATGCCACCAATTGCTCCACAATCACCCTCACCTATCATCTGGGGCTGGTACAATAGGCCAGAAATGGCCGCAGTACAAGGGACTTAGTCCCATCCCACTACCAATAAATTTTTTTATTTATTTTTAGACCCCACCAAGTGCTCGAACCAGTTATGATAGGGGCCAATTCTGGCCGTCAGTCATAATTTTGCCATTCACCAAATAGGGCGGTCTAAACAGCTATTATCTAGAAATTTTGTTTGGCGTAGCTGTATTTAGTTTTCACCGTAAATATTTGTACATAAATGTTCAAAAAACGAGAGAAGTTTCAATACATGGACATGTAAGTTTGCAAAGAATTCCTAAATGGAAATAAAATCTAATAATATCTTAAATCTTATTATCTGTGATCCTTTAGTATGTTTTATGAAAAATATCCCGTGGTCCCACTTGTGAATAGCTGATCGGACTTCAGTCATGTTAACTTTAGCTTTTTATATCCAAGTTCATAAGTAGTAGATAAGAAAGTTATATCTCCACTGAATTAGCAAGGTCGAAGCATGCCTAAGCAAAGAACACAAATGGGAAGATTGCTCCTATAATATCTTCAGAAGAACAAAACTTAGGAATGTTTCATTTAGCTGTTCGTTTATAAATGGCGCATAATTTCTCCTGTTAGACAGGCACAGCTCATTTTCTACGAGGAAGATGTGAGAAAGCTGAAATGGGCAGATGATATATGAAAAAAGGGTTGATAGACTTGTGAACCACAAAAGTTTTCATATCTGCACATCCTATATCTATAAAAACCAATTTTGTATATTCTAACCTACGATTACACTGCCACGTCTCCAGCCTAACACTTCTAATTAGCTCTTTCTCAACCACGCATATTACTGCCCTTCTATATCTATTTCCATTATTTATTTAGAAGGTTTAAATTACTCAACAATTAATTGAACATGGCGACAGAGTGGGATTTACGTTTGCTTCATATGCTAAAGGACCTCGTTTCGAGACTCGGCTCCTGGATCATCTCCCCTAATTTCGGTTTTTCGTGGTTATCTCCAGTCCCTCCAGGAAGATGCCAGGATAGTACGTCAAATTTGACAACGAATGCCGAAATACAATCCCCCTTCCATCTTGTTCATCCGACTCTGCCCTCTTTGATTTTTGGCGTTTCCAAGATGGACGTTTGAACGCTCTGTTTTCAGTCGGACATTCTTTATAAGTAAATAATGCTTACATGTGGAATGCGTCTTGTATGCAACACATTTGTGTTATTAACATCAGGTCAACTAGTTGCTCTCTCTCCCCTCATATATACATACAAGCAAATCTCACATATGTACGTGCAGGTTCATTTGGTGTGCTCATCGTACTCGTAAAATAATAACAAAATACTTTCCTTGTCACCTGAATTATTTAAATGCTATCGGACATCCATCACCGTTATTTGTTTGATTGTTAACGAGCAACAAATTGCAGAATTTAAAATATCTCAACTTCAAACAGACAAAACAAATCCGTGGTTTTAGTCCGCAAGCTATCTATACCGACCGAACGACCGCCGCTGGTTCGACGAAGTTAGTGCCAACTTTTGCGGATAGAGAGTGTCGCGTGGTCAGCACATGAATCCCCATAGTCGTTAATTTCGGTTATTTATACCGGAGCCACTGTTTCCTTGAAATAGCTCCTCACTTATCCTCGTGAGGCTGAGTGGACCCCGTTCCAGATCCACTACTTCTCAGAAAATCTGGTAGAGCCGGAAATCGAACCCGGATCTCTGGATCTGTAGCCATGAACTCTGACCACTAGACCACAGACGCGGACAAAACTATAAATAAATATGTGACATGATTTACAGTAACAGTAAAAATTACTATTTATGATCTGGCTACCTTTTATAATTGATGTGCTAATATCCGACTGCAATTCGGTACTAGGCTTATTATTTTAATTCCAGTAACAAAAGCCACGCCTCTTATGTTCTTACTTGACGAGACGAGGGTACTGCGAGAATATATTTTGTATTGATTTATTATGCTGGTGTCTTCATGAAGTCACGAGATAAGATAATAGTAGTATACACTTGTTACTTCCATAGGTTACTTTCTGTCTCTGCATCCTATGGCCCAAATGAAGCTACTTTTTCTTCTGTCTATAAAATATATACATATATCTTCCATTCTCATAACCACATTTTTTTCAACGTCGTAGAGTATTGTAGTTAAATAACAGAAATTTTTTGATCTTCCTATGTCTTTTGGTTTGTACTGAGGAGTAAGATCCGAGAGTCTGTTATTACCAGTTTTCTTTAGTGAGGTCAAATATTATTTTGTAAACATTTATTTATCTATAATAAATCTATTTAATTTTTAATCTATGATCTTACGCAGTCTACTGCTACAGCAGTTCTTAAAAATATTACTTCCGATCTTTGAATTTAACGACAGTTTTTGCGCTTCTGAACTCAAGATTTGTTAGCAGACAAACACGTAGGAAATGCCGTCATATCATAAATTTCAAATTCATCTTTTCTTAATTGTTTTCTGTTGTTTATAATCTCATTTTGAAAAATAAAAGTACTCTTATGAAATCGTCATGTTGTCTGTGTGTCTGTGAATCACCTCCTATTAGCTTCTGAATGTCTGAAACAATCTTTACGAAACTTGGTGTGCACATCATGGAAACTGAGCCCATCTCAACGGCATAATTCAGAAAACCGTCCCATGAGTGTGTACCTGCATGTGTATTTCTCTAACGTTGCTAGTTCCTTTTTCGTATTAACATATGCCTATTTTAGATATAATATTGTTCTGATTCTGATTAAGCTGTAAAGGTAATAATTAACCCATCATTAAGAATGAGTGCTCAGATAGGATCATTTATTGTCATATTTGAAGTTATGAGTCAAACATTTTCCTGGAGGTACTGAAGAAAATCGTGATAAGTCTCATGTTTGCAAATCTTGGTCAAGAATTAAACTTGGGTTTCGCGCTAATTTCAGTAAAATCGCGTTAGACAATTCTAAACATAACGACTTACTTTCAGCTGTAGCAACTTTACTATAAGGCGAATTGGTGAGACGATAAGAAGCCCCAATTAGGGACTTCCTTGGGCTGCGCCGTAGCTCAGGCGGTTAGTCGCTGGCTTCCCACCGCGGCGGCCTAGGTTCAAGCCTGGGTCTGATCATGTGCGATTTGTGGTTGAAAAAGTGGCGCTGGGGTACATTTTCTCCGAGTACTTCGGTTCCCTCGCCGACCTTCATTCCACCAATTGCTCCACAATCACCCTCACCTATCGTCTGGGGCTGGTAAAATGGGCCAATAGTGGCCGCAGTACCGAGTGGACCCAGTCTCACTCCACTAAGAATAATAATAGTAATAATAATAATAATAATAATAATAATAATAATAATA